ATCGATGTGGGAGAAGTGGTTTGGGTGAGAGGTAGTTGATGTGAGTGGTGTTAGGTGGGTATATCGATGTGGGAGAAGTGGTTTGGGTGAGAGGTAGTTGATGTGAGGGGTGTGTAGGGGTGTGGATGGGTGTAGAGGGTATAGGAGGGTGTATGGGTGTGGGTTGGGTGAGGAAAGTGTGGTGGCAAGAGTGGGTTTGTGGGATGTGGGTTGTGGGTGTATGGCTGTGGGAGGTTTGGGTGAGGGGGTGTCAATGAGGAAGAGTGGGTGTGTGTGTAGCAGTCTAGGGTGGGGGACTTGTAGATGTAGGTGTGTCACAGTGCAGCTCTTTTCATGTAGTGATGCTGTGTTTCTATGTGACTGTCAGTCTGTTCTCTCCCCTCACTCACCCCCAACCCCCACTCCAACACACACAACCTACACTTTCTACAGCGCTTTAATCTCTCTCATATGAGTTTGGAAAGTCACAAATAAAGATATTATTTGAAGAAAATATATTAAAACATTTTTGTCTGATGCTGTTTAATGGGACCAATTGCAGAGGGGACTGACTGTCTCTAACAAGTTTAATATGTGGCACAAAACCAGAGTTCTGAGGATGTGCGAAGATGGGCTGCGAATCAAATCTCTTGAAGAACAGAGCAATTTCTGTCCCCACTTCTGTTGTAAATGACACAATGTTCTGTATTTCACCATGGCATCCATTTGTTAATTGAATGCAGCTCTCCCTTCTTCTCTTAGCATGACAGTAGGCCTTGCTGGTGTAAATCAGACCTTTATGTACCATCCTATTGTGTATCAGTACAGTTTCCGGCACTTGTCTCTCTGCTGAGATGAAGGCATTTATCTCCTCATCTCTTAACTGTTTAGTTGTGCCACTGTCTAAAACTGTGGTTTCCTGCCACCGCAGACATTTCTGCACTCTCGGATATTCACTGAATTCTCTGCAGAAGTTTAACACACGGTCACTGATCAAATGTTTTGTTGCAAAGCATGTCAAGGCTTTATGCAACAGAAACTTGTTGACAATCTGAACAGCAACACATTTGGTTCCATGGACCAACTTCAACAGACTGCCGTTTGCACTTTCAAAAACAAAAGCAGAGTGTGCCCACAATGGACCCCAGAGTTTCACTGACTTGGCAAGGTGAGTGAGAAGATGTACATTGAAAGTCATGGCTGTCTCTCCATAAAGTAACTGAAATTTAACGACAAATTCAAGAAGCATGTCGTCTGCTTTGTTGACTTCCTCATAGGTGATAGACTCCTGTAAAAGGAGGAAGACGGCCGAGACCAGTAGACTGAGGTGTTTCAAGTACCGAGAATCAAGAACACCTTCAAGACACGGTAAGCAATAAAAAAGCAACCAAGCTCTCCATTCTGATGCCTTCCAGTATCTGAACTCCTCAAGTGGCCTAGGCAAGCGGGTAATGAGATGTGGAGGTTGGATGTTTCTGATGCGATTTTCTATTACCCGTATTGTGTCTGGTCTACCAATGTAATAGGGCTGCTCACTACTCTGAAGTAAAAGCTCTGTGATCTGTCTGGTTACACCAAGAAGGACAGCATGCATATAATCAGGTACGAAGCCCCATACAATGTCAAAGTATGGCATGTTTATAAGTTGTGATGGACCTTTAACGCCTCTGACAGGCCTACCTTCAACTAAGGCTACCTCCATATCTCGTATCATAGACTTTGAATCTCTGTCATCATGTCCTGAAGCTGACACAGTGTACTTAACCTGTTTTCAACTAAAACACCGGGATGAAGACAGAAGCCACACCCGTAATAACCATTAAATTGAGTGGTGTTCTGTATTGTAGGTCTTGCTTTGGAGTCTACACAGCAGCAGATGCCAACAATTTTGCTATTTACTTGAACACCATTTTTTCTCCACAAGACACCTTTAGAACTGAGTGACTTTGCTTGTTCTGTAAATGGCTTCAGGTAGACTTGCATAGATGGCTCATGAGTTCCAAACCACAGGCCAGCAAGGATTACATGCTTAAATCTCATTTTAGGGGGCAGTTCATTCAAGTGTAGCTGTATAGGCCATATAGAGAATTTTGAAGATTTGTAAACAGGGGACCCATCAGAATTAAAATTGTATGAAAAATTGTTAGGATTTGAAAGAATCCCACCAGGTTGTGACAACTTTTCATACATAACTCCATCAAAGATGTCTGAGATAACATTCTCAACACTGTGTGGTCTGTCAAATCGATAGCTGAGGTGCTTCTGAATTTCTGGATTTTCCAGAAGGTTCTGAATCTGTGGTGCAACTGGCACATTGATAAAGAAGCTACCATTATTTAAAGAAGTGATCTCAACTGTTTCATTACAGGATGGACATTGTGTGATGTTCTGGTCAGTAACTAGTTTTTGTGTTCCAATGTGACATTTGCAGGCTCGACAGTAAAGATGAAACTCAACTATCTCCGAGTTGTTCTTGAATACCTTATTAAACAAATGTTTGGACCCTGGGACTACATCATTACCAAAAAGGAAATTAATCAGTCTCAGCAAGTCATCTAGTTGACAGCCAGTAATATTATGTACAGCAGCATGAGTCATTATCAGCAGCAGAGCCTCTGCCTTTGTGATGGAGCCTGTTGATTTGAGAACTGTGTCCATCCCTGTGTCTGTGCCAATTTTGTGAAGTGGATCATCTGTTGGCGTTTGAACCTCACTTTCACTATCGGTTGCATCTGTATCTTCAGAAGATGTGCTAAAGGTGTTCTCATCCAATTCATCCCGACCAAATAAATCTGAGACAGCCTCACCCTAGAGAATTTCAAAAAGACATTTTAGTATGGGACAGGATAAACAACTGTGTTTTAATATGTAATGATTTTTAAAGCTGCACTATGGAAGATTTTTTATATGGAAGATTATGTATACTGATTATGTATATAGCTTCTGAAATAAAATATACGTATATATGACTGTTGTAGCCTAAAAGTTTATGCGTTATAAATTATATGCTGAATCAAATAAAATATTTCTTATACTTTTTTGAATTGCCTATTTGATGCTTTTTTCATTTAACACAATGACTTTATTTTTTGGCTGTAATTTCTCAGCAAAATTTAATGTGATTAATCTGCAATTAATTAGATTAATCGCCACATTGTGTAATTAATTGGATTAAAAGTTTTAACTGCTTGACAGCGGCTGAGCATTTTTGAGAATAAAAAGCATATCAAGAAACACAAAATTAATACCCATGGCTCCTGATGTCATATTGAGGTCTTGTGAAGTGAAACATTCGATCCGTACAAGAAACTGAACATTATTTACAATATTATTACCTGTAATCCAAAACCTCAGGCAAACTGGGAAATCTGATTATTTTCTGCACACTGGTTCTTTCAGACAATTCCATTCAATGAACTGGTTCAATTCACTGGTTTCAATGAAATGACTTAAACACATACGCAATTATATTATTAAAGCACCCAATAATGATGTGAAACTTGGATGTTTTACATGTCTAAAGCATATAAAGTGAATAAACTAGTCTTCATCAGCTCACCTTTTTACATAAACAATGAGAAACCATAAAACATTCATTTCACCCCTTCATTGAAGTGTTCGGTTCACGTATGTGCATATCAGCGGCTCATCTGTCTTCAGTCCGATTCAAACTGTTTCCTCAGTTCAGTGACTGTTAGAGAAACTGGAGCACTAAATCAGTTCATTCATCACAGGATCAGATACTCCAGTATTTTGGCTCATTTCGAGTCGGAGTGACTGTCGGACATCCAAAAGTGAGTGTTGATTGAGTAACTTGTAGATCTGCGCTGCTCGAGCTGTGAACTGTTTCAGACGCTTCAGTCTGATTTGATGAACTGGTTCATCTAGTTCACCAAAAAGAACCGGTTCAAAAGAATGATTAGATCCCGAACCGAACATCACTCCAGACCGTTTGCCTGAGGCAAATAATATTGTAAATAATATTCAGTTTCTTACACAGACCAACTGTTTCACTTCAATAAGACATCAATATTCTGTGCAGCCGCTGAATTACATTTTATGAATCGCCAAAGAGCACGGTTTCAGCTAAAAATCTTCTTTACTCTTCTACTGAAGAAAAAACATCACCTACATCTTGGATGGCCTGAGGGTGCATAAATGAAAAGCAAACATTTCATTTTTGGGTGAACTATTCCTTTAAGACACAACCTGACTGTTGAAGAGTATACTCGCCAAGATGGCATTTTGGCATAATTCTGAGTATATTTGTCAATTCAAGAGCAAGAAAACACAACTTAATTTAAAGCCCTTAATACAAACATGTCATTTGATTATGCACTTTCCCCACAGCAGCTCACTCTGTGGCGTCCGCTATTTTTCAGATTAAACTACTGTATATCGATATAAACGGTATTGCCTCATACCATATCGCTTATAAAGAATATATCGATATATCGTTCAAACTCGATGTACCACCCAGCCCTATTAGCAAGAGCAAAAACCTAAATCTTTTTGAAAGAATATTTCACTTAAAATGTAGGATTACTACTATTTGGTTCTAATACGGGCTTTTGCATTAACCCAGGTAAGTAAAAATGTAGGTAAGTAAAAAAAAAAACCCTGCACAGATATGTTTATGCAGGCTGCCACTGGTGAAAAAAAAACTACCTCCGAGTCTGAGGTAGACATGTGAGAGGGGGCCTCGTCTGTGTCCGCATGGGTCTGTCCTGGGTCCATTGAGGTTTGGTCAACAGTGTGGCTGTTTATCCTTGACTGGTCTCCCACCTATGAAACCACAGATAGGCCATTAATATTCTCGATTTTGATAATCGATTAGTTGGCCGATTATTTTTTCAATTAATCGG